TGGGGGTTAGTTCAATACTATAAAAGGAAATAGAATACCCCAGTGGAAGGTGGGACCTCTAACACAGGATTTTGAACGCCCTAATAATTCCCCGGATGTTAGGTGTAATTTAAGAAGGGGTGACTTTGGGGACCACTAGTAAATTGGCCTTAAAAGGTGTGAACGGGATTAAGACTTCCAAATCGTGAATGAGGGGAAGGTGAAAGTAATGAGGAGTGGGAGAATTCTCTAATGGCCATGTTGGCTCTCTCCTTTTCATAACAAGGTTCCAATACCACATATTCCTTGTGCCCAATATTATAAAGTCCAATATAACACCGAAAGGTGGTTACCCTTTCTTCGCCATAATACAAGGACACAAAATTGTGTATGCTAAAATGTTTATCACCCGTTATCGAGTCCTAATAAGAGCGGGGAGAGCAAGAGAGTTACTATCAAAATCATTTTGTCCTTGACACCTCATAAATCTTAGCACGACTGTATGACGTTAAAGGCACGACTACTCCTAAAATACTCTAAAGGCAGATAATGGCCACTAAGAATAAAGCAGATAAGAAAGGAACAAAGTCATACCTGTAACCATGATCAAGGAATTGCAGAGAAAATGCACTTTTCACTCAGGGAGACCCTTGACTATATGAATAAAAAACCTAAGTGAAGGAAAAGATTAAAGAAAGAATATGTAAGCCTTTTATAAGGAGGGAAAGTCTAGTCATAAGGGTAACCTGCCACCATCTATTGAGCAACTTAATTATTGAAAGAAATGGAAAAGATTCCTTGGGTCAGAGACATGTGCCAGGGGAAAGTCTAAGTTTAAATTCCCAAGAAGGATCATCATCGATTGTATTTAATGCAATGCACACTTTACCCAATTGATATTTAGAATTTTGATTTCCCTTAGTTGACTCGCGCTTGATTTCCTTTAGTTAGTTGACATCAAAAATCCCTTGGTTGATGTGTGGGTCATGTTTCTGACACTTGGAAGCATATATCAGAGCCTCCTGCATACAAGTAACTCGCCTCACGCCTGAGAGGCTCGACTAGCATTTCGTTTAAGGGACTCATCTAATTTTTTGCTTTAGGAGTTCAATTTGAAAATATCTCACTTACGGTCCCCTTGAATTGTTCAAACAGGAGAGGAGAAACTAAATCACTTTGCCCTTTTCCAAGCTCTCGTGTTTGAGGGACTATGTATAAGTATAGTTGTGAGGAAGTCTTAAGACGCGATATGGAGACCTTCATTTCACCTATTTATCGAATGTATCATCCTTATATTAGATAACTCGCCATCCTCTAGGCTAAGTCACACAATGTGAGAATTGATGAGTAATGTGTCCCCATCCAATAACGGCATGGAGGAAGTCAAGAGAAAGGTGGATCACACTCCTCTGAATATCATAAGGTAAACTATTCATCTCCGAGTAATTGTTATTTCCAAGGAAGCCTTAGGTACACACCGAATACAACTATAAATATCACGTCATCACGATTGAGAGGTAAAACTAATTCAAATACAAATATACACTCATACATAGCTTCTCACCTTACATGAGCAAACTCTCGAGCTCACAACAAGCCTTAAAATCTATGTCATCCATTAATCACAAAAAATTGTCACACATTTATACTTTTAGCAAATAAATAATATTTACAAAATTATTTCATTAAATCAAAAAAATATTAAATATATAATGTAATCGAAGCCCATATATCATGTATATTCTACTTACTATTTCTTTAAAATAGTGTATACAACTTACTACTTTTTTAAATAATTAGGTGGTAGAATTAGTTAGTAGAGTTAGGGATGACAAAAATATCAGTACCTGCGAATATCTGCGGATAAAATCTATCACGGATATGGGGCGGGTAGCTTAATGGATATCCACGGATAAAATAAATAGATATTTAAATATTTGTTTGTTAATGAATATAGATATGGGTTTAATAATATATGTGCCCACAAATATCCATATTCGTTAATAAATTATAAAAATTATTTAAATATTATTAGTTTATTATACCTTATCTTTTCATCTTCTAAAATAAATAGTTTTTTTTTCTTTGAAGAAAACCTTTCACATTTCATTCAAATTCTATTAGTCATTTCATATTTAAATTCTTCACTACTTCATACCCCACTTCAACAATTTCACAATCCAATTAACTAGAGTTGTCATTTCTCTGTCGAACTAATGTCTCTTTGTCTACTCTTGTATCGTTGACTCTTCCATCATAGCTCACAATTACAATATCTTTTATTTGTTTGGTTAAAATGAAATGTATGAAATGTATGAAATGTATGAATATTATTAAATTAAGATTGAATTATACGGATGTTATGTGATAATAATTTTGTGTCTTTAAAAGTTAAAAATATTTTTTTAAAATAATTTATATAAAAAAAAATATTATTCATAGATATTCATGTATACCGTAAAATTCGCAAATTAGCCGCTTAATAAATATCTGCATGAATATGAAACGAATATAAATATCATATTTATCCAACTAGACAGATACGGATATCATAGTATCCGCTGTATGGATATCCATAAATAGAATACATCTTACTTATATTAATCAATTGTGTAACTTATCCAAAATTTCTAGGAACCTAGGCCTTTCTTATTTTTAAAAACAAATGCATTTGTAATATATTAGATGATTTTGTCTAGTCTCTAAAATAGAAAGAGAGGAATGAAGGCAGAGAAGAAGGCGCGTGAAGTATTAAAATTCATGAATGAGAGAATCTATCCCTTGCTTGTGGAAGGAGGTCGAGTGGGTCCAAACGATGTGGGGCTGTTAAGTAGAGTGCTCTTTCGGTATGCGTTCTTTATCGAAAATAGAACCCCAAAATATTCTCATTTCTCACCTTCTCTCACGTCAGATACGACTACTCTCACGTATCCATTCTTTTCACTTCCACCCAATCATCATCAACGTCTCTCATTCATCCACATCAACACCATCCCTCACTCTCTCCAAATCCTAACCCTCCATTTCTATCATCTACTACTCAACCTATCAAACTAGTGAGACATGTTAAGGCCCACCATTGTTACCACCGACGAGTTTTTTTTCTTTATGATACAACAGACAACATGCCAATTAACTCTCACTCATTATCTCACTACCCTTGAGTTCACCTTTTTCTTCCTTCTTATTCACTTGTCCTGTCCCTTGTTGCAATGCAAACCACACTAACACATGCAAATTCTTCTCACTTAACACACTACTCTTTCACTTTCTTTCTTTCTCTTCTTACAATATGAAATCTTGTTAACATACTCTCATATATAGTATATAGTAGTGTGAGTGAGTGATACTTTAGTTTAACCAACTACACTGCTCAGTTCTTGGCTTTTCAATGGGTTTATCTTCTCTTCACGTCTGCAATATGGATTCATCTGCAGATCACTGGTTGCAGGTATACCATGCACATGCACATGCACATTGTTTACCATTTTCCTGTATCACTACCACATGCATTATTTAAATCAATGCTATAGTAGTTTGGCAGTTTCTGCTTTGCAAATTAATAATCAACTTAATTATATACCATTGCATAAACAATTCTTATGTTGGATCAGTCTATACCGATGTTTTCCAGCCCTTAGTTGGGTTGGGCTGTTGCTAGTAGACGGTGAAACTGGTCTCTACCAGGATTATTCTAAGTTGTTGCTAGTAGACGGTGAGACTGATCTCTTGAATTAGTTAATCTTAAAAATCAGATATGAGTTTAAAAGAAATACTTAGTGGCATTCATATTCATTTGAATTGCTATATAAAAGTTAACTAAAAGTGCTGCATGGTATGTTTTTGACTCAATAATCTCATGATTAAAAGTGAAGAATGAAAACTAACAGAAAAGAAAAGCTAAGGAAAACAAACTAGAAGAACCTAGCAAGCTAGAAAGAGAACAAAAAGAATGAAAAAGAAAAAGACAGTGTATAACAATCCAACACCAAATCAACACATTTTTTACTTTAACTTTTATCATAAACATACTAACTTCTAGTTTCTTTTATACAAAATGTCAGGGCACAATTCACGATGAGTCTGGTATGGATTCTTCTTCACCATTATCTGGTGACATGCTAACATGTTCAAGGCCGTCCTCCATGATAGATCAAAGGAGACTAAGACCACCACATGACCTATCCCTAAAATGTCCAAGATGTGATTCAACTCACACAAAATTCTGCTACTACAACAACTACAGTCTCTCTCAGCCAAGGTACTTCTGCAAGACTTGTAGAAGGTATTGGACCAAAGGAGGAACCCTAAGAAACATTCCTGTTGGTGGAGGTTGCAGAAAAAACAAGAAAGTTTCATCCAAAAAACCTAATGAACACCATTTAGCTAACAATATTCAGAATCATCAAAACCAACCACAACAAGGATCTTCTTATTCATACCATCATCACAATCACATCAACAACAACAAAGATCTTCAACTTTCTTTCCCTGATGTGCAATTCTCTCACCTTAGCAACTTACTTGGGAGTACTAATTCATCTGCATTAGGAAACCCTAGTTTCAATGTTGGCATGCTTGAGAACCCTAGACCTATTGATTTCATGATGGAGAGTAAACTAGAAGGCATAATTGGAAGTAGTTCTAGGAATTTTGATAACTTTTTTGGAAACAATGATCACATGAGTATGAATATGAGCGTTGGAGATATGATGAATGGTCAAAATCAAAATGTGCTTCAATTGCAACAGAATTTTCATTCTTCATTTGGTGGCATGTCATCATTTGATGGACACAATAACAATGGAGCTTATTTAATGGATTCTTGTCAAAGACTTATGCTTCCATATGATGCTAATGATGAGGATCATAATGCTTCAATTGATGTGAAGCCAAACCCTAAATTACTCTCACTTGAATGGCAACAAGATCAAGGTTGTTCTGATGCTGGATATGGATCATGGAGTGGCATGATGAACGGTTATGGATCTTCCACAACAAACCCTTTGATCAACGGCTAAGATTTGTCATGGTAAATGGTTAATTTGATGAATGACCTAATCAATCACTCTATAGTATTATATATACATAAAGTTATTGTATGGGAGGGTTTAATTAATTAATTAATTAATTAATTTCATGTATCTTTTTTATGTAGTGTTTTTTTTTTCTTTCTAGCTGGTGGTGATGGATGGAGTGTGAATGAGAAGGTTGAGAGTCCAAATGTACTGCATTGGTGTGTAAGCTTTTGGATTATATAAATATGCATGTGTGTCTTTATGTAATGGAAGATTTAGGATTTATATATGATGTAACATCGAGGAAGATATGGTAGTTCTTCTATCCTAGTTAAAGAAAATATGTACTAGTGCTATTATTATTTTATTATTATCTTTATGAAAATCTTTTGTTTCTATGCTTCTGTTGTATTTTGGGGGGTTATTATGTCCATAACTATGATATGAGTGTTTTTTTGAGTTCGTTGTTCTGTCGTCATGCAAGATATATTAAGCAAAAGAAAATTACAAGTGAGAAGGAAAAAGGGGCATTCGGAGAATCGAACTCCGGACCTCTCGCACCCAAAGCGAGAATCATACCACTAGACCAAATGCCCAGTTGTTACTTTCATCAAAAACAATTTCTAATGACAAATTATATAATCCGATACATGTGTCCAAAACTTCAGAAGATTATATAATACTGCAACGCGGTTATCATTCATTTGGTCTTTTTTACACTGAATTTTTTTTTTCGTTTGTGAAGAAAACAAAAGATACAAATGTGTCAATTTTAATAGTTATATTCTAATTATGTTTGACAGTTATATATTATGTTGTACAGTTCTGTTATCTTTGACTCTATTTTAGCGAGTTTTCAACGTGTGAGACTAATAAATTGTATAAATTCAACTATTCATTCCATTTCAAAATAATTAAAATATTTTAATTATAATGTTCCGGTTATATTTGAACGTACCATAAATTCAAATAGCATATTAATTATGTATACCACTTACTTTTACATACCTAATTTTTTTAGAGTTGTATACCGCATATCTAAATTCATATCGTATACCGAAATAAATTGTGAATAATATAACTATGAGTAAAAGTCTTTTAAAGGAGGTTGTAACTCATCTGATGATCATGATGGCAGAGGGAAGAAGAAGACACAATTCAAATATTCAATGTCATGTTTGCTCTAAATTTAGCAATATTGATCTCACATGTTGGCACAGATTTAACCAACAATTTCAATCTCAACCTAGCTCTCAATACGTTGGTTCTTTTCTCCAAGTGGTTTTGGACATGTACCTTATAGATTCCTTCATGTGTCTTTTCAATATACCAACACTTGAATAAGACCTCGGTCTCATGCTCGTCCAACTTTTGTATTTGGCAATCCTCCTCATGCCTTAATCTTCAACAACACACTTGCATATATGTGTCTCGTACCTTAACTCTAGAGCTTTCTTCCAAGTAACTAGTGATTTAAGAAACCTTTAACAATTCACTTTTTTTAAGGGTATGATTAGATCTACATGCAAAATAGTAAAGGTTTACAGTTAAATCTTTTGATTCAAACCCCTTTTCATCCCCTATAAAACCTCATATGTTATTACTCATATTTCATAATCTTCTTCATGTTCCCTCAATCACCAAAAATTTCATTAGTGTTACTCACTTTTCTAAACCAATAAAAGTTTCCTTCAAGGTTATGTAGGATCTAATTGGCTTTTATGAATGTTCTACCGTATCTCTTAATTCTGCTAAGTTTTTACTCCATGTACTACATCTAATAAATCTATTGCTTTAGTTATAAACTCCAGACTACAGTCTTCGGATAGAATTTTTGTTTTTCCTTATCAGTTGGAGTCACATAAGATTAACCATGATACTGGTTCTCACTTTTCTTCTCATTAGTATTGTTGTAGTGAGCAGATCTGACTCTATTATCTTCTTCATAGATCCTATACTTATTCACTAACATTGAGAATCAACGAATCTTCTTATAACCAATGTATTGCTTGATTTCGAGATGTTAGCCACTCTCAAATTTCACACACTTCAACCCTTTAGTTTCCACACCATCATAGTGGGAATAAATTCTCATGAACTCTTCAAACTTAGCCGCATAATCTGCAACAGTCATGTTTCCTTGCTTCAGCTGCAAGAACTCGATCTCTTTCTTAATGCGAACATCGGCCTGAAAGTACTTCTCCAGTAACACTTTCTTAAAGTTCTTCCAAGTAATCTCAGTATCTGCAGCTCCCAACCGCTGGCGGGCATTATCCCACCAATACTAAGCCTCTTCCGATAGCATATGTGTTCCAAACAACACTTTCTGCTCATTGGTGTAAACTATAAGCCAAAAGATCTTCTCAATCTCCTGTTGCCATTTCTGAGTGCCCTCATGATCGTACCTCCCCTTGAAAGTAGGCAGATTGTTCCTCCAAAACTTTTTCAGCCCACGGAATTCATCAACGCCAGCATTCTGATTCTAATTTGTCTGCAAATCTTCATTCGCTTGCACCATCACATTATCCATTACTTCCAAAGCATCAACAACTGCTCGGTCGTTCCTGTCAACCATTTCTTTTTGCACAATCAGACAAGTTTAGATTAACTAACCGTAAACAGTAAATCAAATAGAAATCAACGAAACAAGCACCTATAATGTTTACACACATGTCGCACACAAGGCTGACAACTAGTTCACAATCTAGGCCGAATGGACCGACCTACTTTGATACCAATTATGTAACACCCTAAAACCCCAACCCATTATTTATAAAATAATTTCATTAAATTTCACAAATAAGACATTACACATTCATCACCAAACATCTTACTCGATAAAATATAACATTAAAGCAGCGAAATAAACATTAAAATCTCAAGGAAAATATTTAATTGTCTAAACGCCAAGAATTAATAAGGTAATTTAAAACATCTCATAGAGAAACATTAAATGTACCAAAATAGTTCATCCTCAGTGTTACATATAAGAGCGACGTCAAAACTAAACGACTCGAAAACTTTAAAGTAAATGAAGAGGCCTCAATGCCATTCTCCATCTAAACAACATCTAGTACTCCTCTACCTGAGTATCTGTACCACGAGAGTACAAAACAACCATGGAGTGAGAATACGTTCAAAAATGTTAGTAGTGTATAAAGTAATAAAGGACAATACACATTAAAACATCAATACATTCATATCATTCACAACCCTCATCAATCATCAACATATTTATATATAACACTCACAATAATCATCAAACATAAGTGCAGGTGTATATGCAATGTACTCATCACCAAATGCATGTGGTACTAACCTACTCACCAATTGGATGTCAGAGTTATGTTATTGAACAATCTCATCACCAATGTTTGGACATCAGGGTTATATTAATGATTTAGTCTCATCACATATTATCACCAATCTTTATCTCTGATATACATGATGCATGAAATGTCAAAACTATGTAATATTAAAATCATCACCAATAGTTCTTATCTAAACCACATGGTTCAATATAATTCAACACCATATAATAACTCACCAATATATATAAACATATTAACATGCAATAATACATCACCGAAAATTGATTTCATCACAAAACATTAACTCAAGTCACCAAACTTACCAGACAGTATACAAAAGCAGTAAACAATCACAATCATCAGAAACAACTCAAGAAATAAAGTCGACGATCCAAAATTGGTCAACATAGGGGCTAACAATCAGCCCACTTGTCCTGGCGGTCTTCATGACTAAACCGTCACCCTTTCCCGCGCCAAACTTTCACCCTGTGACGCCCAGGGCAAGAACTCGTCTTCAGAGACCATGATGGTCTCCTTGTCAACCCCAAGATAATCGTACCTCATCTGGATGCAGTGACAGACGGTTCGTCACCATGTTGACGCCTGTTAGGTGTCCCTTATGCAACGACGGGTAGCCTGTCACTCAGGTGACGCCTTTCACCGATTTATAGCATGAAGAACCTGCGTTTTCACCATTGGAGCACTTCCAAACCTCCAATTTTAAACCTCAACCACCCGAATCGAACAGAACTAAATAGCCCATATTATATTAAACGTAAATCACACCAAATCAGCACCAATTACACATCAACACCAATTTATCATGCAAATTTAACTATATGTTCATCATCACCAAAGCATAAAACATATTAACATGCAACAATACATCACTGACAATTGATTTCATCAAAAAACATTAACTCAACTCACCAAACTTATTAAATAGTAGACAAAAGCAGTAAATAATAACAATCATAAAAAACAACTCGAGAAATCGAGTCGTCGACCCAAAACTGGTCAACATAGGGGCTGAGAGTCAGCCCACCTATCCTGACGGTCTTCATGACTAGACTGTCACCCTTCCCCCCCACCAAACCTTCACCTTGTGATGCCCAGGCCAAGAACTCATATTCGGAGAGCGTGAAGGTCTCTTCGTCAACCCCATGACGATCGTCACCCCACCCAGATGTAGTGACAGGCGGTTCGTCACCATGTTGACGTCTGTCAGGTTTCCTTTATATAGTGAAGGGTAGCCCGTCACTCAGGTGACGCCTTTAACCACTATACAACAAGCAAAACTTGCATTTTCACCAATGGAGCACTTCCAAAGCTCTAACTTCAACCCCCAACCACCCAAATCGAATAGAAACGCATTGTGAGGGCAAAGCCTCATATATAGATGTTCTTGTTTCGATGATGTCAAAACTCATCTTCATAGAAAAATATACATTGGACGTTGTCAACATGTCGTATTTGCATGTCTTGTCTCTCATAATTAAAATGCTCGTAAAAATCACGAATGTTGCATATAGATAGCCAAATATGTGTGTCATATAGGGTTGACTTAGTTGGTGTTGTTTGTCTTACTATAAGTTTCATCAAAAGTGTCGTAAAGCATGAAAATAGGCATTTTTTATTGTTTCAGGGCTTTGAGTCGACCAAAAACCTGCTCCGATCAACTCATATTGCAAG